TTCTTCAAGGAATTCCCCCTACCAGATTACCTCTCTCCCTCCAGCAATCCAGAGGGTGGAGGATCATATTCCAGATAACCCCACCTAAAACTGGTGAAAATTTTCTGAACTCCAAATGAAAGAATTCTTTAGCTTTTTATTGAGATTCTTTTTCCTCTTTTTTCTTTTTCTCTATTTAATTGTGACCTTAAGAGTACATGGACATTTATACATACTCATATTTGTCTTTTGTCTCATTTCTAGCATTTTTGAAGCCAGTTATTTTTCATGGGTAAGTTTTTTGAGGAATAGGATGTTTGAGATGTTTGATTAGTATATTTTAGTTTTAATGTATATATATATATATTTTTTTTTTCTTTTACCTGTTCCCCTAATTCTCCTTCTCTCATTTCTTCCACTAACAGCCAATCTATATTGTTCTCTCTTTCACTCTTCCTTTAATTTTTGCCTCTATCTTCTCTCCTTCTCCCTCATAATCATCTCATCCTATGTCACTTCTGTTCTTTCCCTGTATACAATCTGAAATTATAAACCCTTTTGCATACTTGCTGTTTTAATTGTGGACAATAACTGATCATATCATTTCTGTTGATTGTGATAATTAATATTGTAGGCATCATAGTAGGGACTATCTGGTTTAATGTTTTATATTTTTGCACTGGATGTTGTTATTATTTGTCTCCTGTGAAGAGTAAGGTATTGGAAAATTTAGAGACAATATAAATCCACAGGGCAGAAACTCTATTCCTTCAGATCCATACTGTTAAATGGGTAGACACAAAAACAACATGAAAAAGCAAGGGAACAAATAGCCCAAAACAAACCAAAATACTCCAAAAACAGAATCCATCAGCATGACAGTGGAAGAAATATAAGAGAAGTAGTTTAGAATGTACATAGTTAAACTGATCTGTGAGGTAAAGGAAGGAGTGAAATCAGAGAGAAAATGCATGGTGTGAAATATCACTTTAATAAAGAGAGAGTCTGAAAAAAATCATAAATCCTCAAAATGAAGAAATCAATAAATGATTTAAATAATTGAAAGCATCACCAGCAGACTAATCACTTAGAAGACAGTTTCAGACAATGATGACAAAATATATAATCTTGAAAACAAAGTTGACCATGGAGAAAAGATGTTAAGAAATCACAAACAGGACTTCCAAGAATTATGGGATAACCTGAAAAGACCAAATTTAAGATTTATCGGGATAGATGAAGGCTCAGAGATACAAACAAAATTTCTCAATGAAATAATGTCAAAAAATCCTAATCCTGAAGAATGAAATGGAAAATCAAATACAGAAGGCTTACAGGACCCCAAATATCAAAATTACAACAAATCCACACCAAGGCACAGTATTATGAAAATGCCTAACATACAAAATAAGGATAGAATTTTTTAAAGGCTTCCAGAGAAAAATGACAGGTAACCTTTAGAGGAAAACCCATCTGGATCTCAGCTGATCTCTCATTCCAGATCCTCAAAGCTAGGAGGCCTTAGAATAATATATCCCAAGCTCTGAAAGAAAATGGGTGCTAGACAAGAATTCTATACCCATAAAAATAAAGCTTCAGAATTAATGATGCAATAAAAACCTTCCATGATAAACAAAAGTTAGAAGCATTCACAACTAGCAAAGCTGCACTATAGAACATACTTGATAAGATATTTCTTGAAGAAGAAGTGAAAAATAAAATTGAAAACCAGCAAAGGGAGTAACTACACTAAAATATCAGTGAATCGATGGAGAAACAAATTCAAATTTAAAAAACAGAAATAAATCAAAATTGTAAGGAGCAAAAATCATATCTCAATAATAACATTGAATGTAAAAGGCCTAAACTCATCAGTCAAAAGAAATAACCTGGTAAAATTGGATTAAAAAACAAGACCCAACAATATGCTGTCTCCAAGAGACTCACCTCATAGGCAAAGACATCAACAGACTAAAAGTAAAAGGATGTGAAAAAAACATAACATTAACATGAATCTCATAAACAAGCAAGGGTTTCTATCCTCTTATCAGATAAAGTGGACTTCAAGCCAAAGTTAATCAGAAGGGACAAAGAAGGATGTTTCATACTGTATCAATGAGACACAACAATCGTAAATATGTATGCCCCAATAATGGAGCATTTATGTACATCAAACAAACATTTCTCAATTTCAAGACGCAAATAGACCACAACACAATAATACTGGGTGACTTTAACCATTTCTATCACCACTGGATAGATCCTCCAAATAAAAACTAGATAAAGAAGCTATAAAACTAAAAAATACAATAATAATAATCTAGACTCAACAGACATATTTAGAAGATTTCATCCATCAATGACTGAACACACTTTCTCCTCAGCAGCACATGGATCCTTCTCTAAAATAGACCATATCTTAGGCCATAAGGCAACTCTTAGCAAATACAAAAAAATAGAGACAATACTTTACATTCTATCAGATCATAATGGAATTAAGTTAGAAATCAACAATAAAATAAAAGCTAGAAGCTACTCTGACAACTGAAGACTAAATAATATGCTATTGACTAATGGATGAAGAGCAGAAGAAATCAGGGATGAAATTTTAAAAAATAGTGGTAAATGAGAATAGCAATGCAACATATCAAAATCTCTGGGACACTATAGAGGCAGTTGTTTTAGTCAGTTTTCTTACTGCTGTGACTAAAAGACCCAACTAGTACAATTGTAGAGGAGGAAAAGTTTATTTGGGGGCTGATGATTTCAATGGTCTCAATCCATAGAAGGCTAGCTCCATTTTTCAGGACTCAAGGTGAGGCAGAACATCATGGCAGAAGAGTGTGGCAGAGGAACATGGCTCACATGATGATCAGGAAGCAGAGAGAGAGAGAGAGAGACTCTACTCTCCATGTACAAAATATAAGCCCCATAGCCACACCCTCAATAAGCCATTTCCTTCAGCCACACCCCACCTGCCTGCAGCAAGGACTCAATTACTACCATCAGGGATTAACTCACTAATTAGGTTAAGGCTATAACCCAATCATTTCTCCTCTGAACTTCTTGCATGTTGTCTCATGTGAGCTTTTGGGGGACACTTCATATCCAAGTCATAACAGCAGTGCTGAGAGGAACGTTCTGTTGCATTGTGTTCATTCCTTAAAAGAATGGAGGGCTGGGGATATAGCTCAGTTGGGAGAGTGCTTGCCCTGCATGCATAAGGCCCCAGGTTCAATCCCCAGCACCATACACACACAAAGAATGGAAAGTCAACAAAAAACCTAACATTACATCTCAAAGTCTGAGGGCAGGGGAGATCAATACCAAAAGCAGTGTAATACAGGAGACAATTAAAATTAGAGCTGAAATCAAAGAAATTGAAACAAACGAAACACTCCAAATTATTGCCAAAATGGCCATACTACCAAAAGCACTCTACAGATTTAATGCAATTCCCATTACTATTCTGATTATGTTCTTCGTAGTAATAGAAAAAGCAGTCATAAACTTCATTTGGAAAAATAAGAGGCCCAAAATAGCCAAAGAAATCTTCAGTATGAAAAGTGAAGCAGAAGGCATCACAATACCAGACCTCAACTTACACTACACAGCTATAGTAACAAAATGGCATGGAAAGGGCACCAAGGTAGACGTGAAGACCAATGGTACAGAACAGAAACACAGAGACAAACCCACATAAGTACAGTTATCTCATACTAGACAAATGTGTCATAAACATACATTGGAAAAAAGATAGCCTCTTCAACAAATGTTGCTGGGAAAACTGGAAATACATCGATAGCAAAATGAAATTAAACCCCTATCTCTCACTCTCTCACAAAACTCAACTCAAGTGGATCAAGGACCTAGACATTAGACCAGAGAGCCTGCACCTACTAGAATAAAAAGAAGGACCAAATCTCCATCATGTCAGCTTAGAAACCCAATTCCTCAACAAGACTCAAAGTGCAAGAAGTAAAATCAAGAACCAATAAATGGTATTGAATCAAACTAAAAAGCTTCTTCACAGCAAAGAAAACAATAAAGAATGTGAAGAGAGAATCTACAAAATGGGAGAAAATCTTTGTCACCTGCACCTCAGGTAGGGCATTAATCTCCAAGATATACAAAAACTTAACACCAAAAAAACAAATAACACAATCAATAAATGGGCAAAGGAACTGAACAGACCCTTCTCAGAAGAATAAATATGAATGTTCAACAAATACATGAAAAAAATGTTCAACATCACTAGCAATTAGAGAAATGCAAATTAAAATTACACTGAGATTCCATCTCACTCTAGTCAGACTAGCAATTATCAAAAATACAAGTCAAGGGCTGGGGTTGTGGCTCAATGGTAGAGCTCTTGCCTCACATGCATGAGAAGCTGGGTTTGATTCTCAGCACCACATATAAATAAATGAATAAAATAAAGGTTCATCAATAACTAAAAAAAATACAAGCCACAATAAATGTTGGCAAGGATATGGGGGAAAAGGCATACTTACACATTCCTGGTGGGACTGCAAATTGGTGCAACCACTCTGGAAAGCAGTATGGAGATTCCTCAAAAAACTAGAAATGAGACCATCATTTAACCCACTTATCCCATTCCTCACCATATACCCAAAGGACTTAAAATCAGCATACTATAGTGACACAACCATATCAATGTTCATAGCAGCTCAATTCACAATAGCTAAGCTATGGAACCAATCTAGATGCCCTTCACTAGATGAATGGATAAAAAAAAAATGGTACATATACACAATGGAATATTACTCAGCCATAAAGCAGAATAAAATTATGGCATTTGCCAGTAAATGGATGGAACTGGAGACTATCATGTTAAGTAAAATAAGCCAGTCCCAAAAGACCAAAGGTTGAATGTTCTTTCTGATATGCAGATGCTGACTCATAATAGTGGGGGGGGCGGGAATGGAGGTTCACCAGATTGGACAGGGGATTGGGGGGGAAGGGAGGGGAGATGGGAATGAGAAAGACAGTAAAATGAATTGGACATAACTTTCCTATGTTTATATCTGACTACACGATCAGTGTAACTCCATATCAGGTACAACCACAAGAATGGGAAGTTATACTTCATGTATGTGTGATACATAAAATACTTTCTACTGTCATGTATGACTAAAAAGAACAAATTTTTGAAAAGAAGAATTATACTGCATCTGCTGCTGCATCCTTGTTCTTCCAAATTCATTCCATCCCAGCCTCTAACCTATTGGATGGTGCTGCCCACGCTTAGGGAGGGTCTCCACTCTAGTTCACTGTCCCACATGCCAATCATTCCTACACACCCTCATTGACACACCCAGAAGCCTCTTCATCTTAGGCATCTCAATCCAATCCCGTTGACATTCAAATTAACCATTATGGCAAGTGAACCTTACTGATCACATTTAAATGTCACTTAGTTTTTACTGTATTTTAACGGTTACTATATTATTAATCAATTGTATCAAAGGTACTACAGGATGCGTGGTACTGATCGTAGGGAGAACTTTCGGGGAAAGAGAGCTATATGAGAACTCTGTAGTTTTTGTCCAATTTTGTATAAAATCAAAACTCAAAAGCACAAAATGTATTCATTAAAGGAATAATAGCTCAATAGTGAAGAGAGAGCTTTTGCTCATTCGGCAGGCTTTGTACCACCACACGATGAGTCAGCTGGGTGGGAGGAAGGGGAAGCCAGCCAGCCTGGTCCTGGAGACTTCTTGTCTCCCGTGCCCTGGTCCCTGGGGCTGAGCTTCCCTGCCTCCTGTCCAGGGAGCTGCCTTGCAGTGGCTCTGGCTGGACAGTCTCTCTAAGGCAGGTGCATCGGCGATAACCAGAGGTCATTTTCCAGGGGTCAAGTTTCCATCCACAAGGACCACCCCCTGCACAGCTCAATGCCCTCCCCAAGCCGGCCCCCCCGGAGGGGAGGGCTGGTGGGCCGCTGGCCCCTGCAGATGCAGCGAGCTCAGCCGGGGCTGTGGGGCAGGTTCTGAAAGGTGCCCTTGTTCAAGACACTCTACGTCTATCTGACAGAAAATTGTCACAACACTCCACTCCGAGTGTTTTAGACAAAACACTTCCATGTAGATGAACACAAAAGTGCAAAGTCCGTGCCCGAAGGCGTCTCCCAGATGTGGGGTGCCTCCCCATAGACATTGACAGGTCAGGTCAGGTCATCAGAAGCCTCAGCGTCCATGCCCACACACCCCGTCCTTGAGAGCAGAGACATCTCAGGGGATGTTCCAAATCCCTTCAGGCAGACTCATCTCCAGCCCTCTGTTTTCTTAGAGTAATAGGGAACTAATGGGCTTTTCCCCTCATTCGGTACCTTTCTGTTAGTTAATTGGAAATGGTTCTGCCTGAATGGGAAGGTTTTCTATCCTGGGGTCCTTGAACAGAGAAGTCTCAGAGCACAGACCTGAGCCGTCAGGGTACAGAGAACCTCCCACCACCTTCCCAGGATTAACTGGCCACTTGGGTCCTGAGAATTTCCAGTGCCCCATACTTAGGGGGCTTTTGTTGTATTAAAAGTGACAACTGCATTCAAGATGAGAGGTGCTATTCAAAGAAAAGATAAAGTAGTCTCTACTGAGAACTTTCATTGTGTTGAGAATAATGCACCTCAAAATGCTAAGCCACCAAGTGTGTGCCAAGTATGGGGGCTGGGAAGGGAGTACGCTTCCCACTTGAATAGGTGAAAAAGATCATAAAGAGGCTTTCGTTTTTAGTAGAAAATATGTCATATACAGACCCCCCAATTTTCGCTTACTGATAAACCCATCCTTCCTGCCAAGGATAGACTCTGAGGGCCACTTTGCTTGGCCTCCCATCTGTCTCGTCCCATGACAGGCACAGAGGAAGGAGCCTGCATCGCTGAGTCACTGCCTGGAGGAGGATGACCTAGCTCAACAACCTCATTGGACATGAAATGGATAAGAAATAACCTTTGATTTTGTTGAGTCACTGAAATCTAGGGGTTGTTTACAACAACTGGAATGAATTATTTTGTACCATGGATATTGATATTCTGACACAGGTTTCTGCTGTTACAAAAACGTGTGGCCATTTTCTTAGCAGTTGGGCAAGAGGTGGGGAGGACAGCATGCTGGGTCATCTATGATATGGTGTTGAAACAGTTAGCAGATGGTCACCTGCAGAGACTTGGGGAGCACACATCATTGCTACAGGATCATGAGGGCATCATTGGAAAATGGATTTTTAGGAGTGTGTTTTAACTGGAATTGATAATGTTCAGAATTGTGAGAGACAAATGAAAGAAATAAGCTCAGGAAATGATTAGCCCTGGGCTTGAGCAGCATGCCGTGACTCGACAGGGGCCTGTGTTCTCTTCCTTGGAGAAGAGGTGAGCAGTTTCAGGATATCTGAAGAAAAATAAAGCAACATGGTGGCCAAAAGGGTGGCCAGCAGCTGAAATAATTTTATGCCTACATGAATGGTTTCATTTTTCTCCTGGGGTCCAGGAGATTCCATTTCCCAGCACTGTGGCATGTGGGTAAGCCAGGTGATTGGTTTTGACCAACATTCTAGGGTTAGAAGTCACAGGATCTTGTAATGGCTTGTGGCATAAAATACTCCCACAAGTTTCCTCCTCGTGCTTCCTTAGTGAACTTAGAAGACATGGTTAAGGATGGCAGTGTCCAGAGATGGAAAGACCTGGACCTCTGAATCAGCACTTGGACGAGAGCTTCCCAGGAGAACCACCCAACCACTGCATCCAGGGAGACTGGTGGGTGAAAAATGAACTACTACCGGGTTAAGTCACCGCGATGTGGACGATTAGGAGTTCACAAGGTCAACACGGGGAACGAAGCAAAGTATATCCGGTTTGGTAAGGACAAAAATACGTCAGCATGCTTATGAGAGGGAGTTCATGGTGGGTGTGGAACTTTGTGATTCCACGGGCCAGGTAGAAAAGAGGATGAGAGGACAGCAGGGACAGATGTCAAGGAGTCCTCAGGTCCCAGTGGAAAGTCCAGAATGTCATTACCCTTCAAGTGATTTGGAAACACAAATTGTAGGCCAGAATCCATGACAAAATATCGCCTTTTAAAATACTTCACAAGACCAAATTGATGATACATTCTGGAGTACCTATCTGATATTCTTCAAACATGTCGAAGCCTGGCTACTGTCCACAGTGGAGGAATCAGCCTCTCTAACCCACAAGATGAACAGCCCCAAAGTATGTACCTGGCGGGGCCTAGACAAGGCCCCAAAGCCAAACTGAAGGGCTCATTCAAATCCCTGTTGGGAGCCAGGCATCTCCAGTGAGTGTGGCTCAGAACGGTGTACTGGTCTTGGAAGGCTGGCAGACAGATGCAAAGACCCTCAGCAGGCAGTGCCACGTCCAGGCCTCTCTGCTTCCCAGACCAGACTTGGTGTGTTGCTGGTGGCAGGCCTGGGAGAGCAGGAGCCGAGTAGCATCTCAGCTCGATCTCCTGGGTTGGAACACATGGGCCTCCAGGACGAGGGGGGAGGACGCCAAGGTGGGTTGGGTGGGTGTCTGGCCAGGGACTGGAGGGGAGTGTGACACATGTGACCTTTGCCCCCTCTGACTTCAGTCTGCCGTGCCATTACCAGCTTTCTCAATGGATTTCATACTATATCCAGTAAGATTTGTGACCGTGCAGATTTAGTTTTATAATTTAAATGGTGTTCCACTTATTACTAGTCATAAAGACAAAAGAGGTAAATGATTAATGAAGTGTTTTGTTGGAATTTTTTGAGAAGAAAGGGTGTCTACTTACACTTGTACAAAGAAGTGAGAAGCAACTTTCCCACCCAACTTGGGATGAGTTAAGAAAAAAAAGCAAAGGTTTATGCAGTTCACGTTTCTGTTCCCAGTGAGAAAACTTATCAAATCTTGTAGGAATGAAGTGCAGATTCTTGCAAGATTGCCTGTTCAAGAAATACAAGAACATCATTGACAAGAATGGGTAAAACGATGTTTCCTGAGAATAATTAACAAGTACTGGAAAAAGCATGTTCTTTTCCCTTCATGGTGACAGCTATACAGCATATATATTTGTGTCTGTGCTCAGCTCTTTTTTAAAAAATTTTTTTAAATATATATATGCTTTTAGTTGTAGATGGACACAATACCTTTATTTTGTTCATTTATTTTTAGGTGGTGCTGAGGATCGAACCCAGTGACTCACAGGTGCAAGGCCAGTGCTCTACTGCTCAGCCACAGACCCCACCCCGTCCAGCTCTTTCTTGAATGCTGTTCTGCTTGAGGCAAAGGGAGGTGCACATTTCATACTTGCTATTGGCAACTATTTTTATTTCAGGAAATTAGCACAGCACCTTCCTTTCTTTCCTTCTGCCTCCTTGGACACAGGGTCAATGTTACAATAGCTTCTGGCTTGGACTGTGGCTAGCTCCGGGATGCCCACCTCAAGGGAAGTCTTGTACCACAGTCCTCAGTGTAGCCCACTCGGCAAACGAATGTCCTTCTCTGGGCACCTGTGGCCAGAGGATAGGAAGGCACTCTGAACTCTGGAGAGTGGAGTCCTGGCTGGGCTCTACCCCAATGTAGACTCCAGCCTGGAGGCTGGTTCTGAGCCTCACCATTGCTTCCCCTAAGTAACTGGGATGTGTCTTCCTGACCAGGAGACTTGGTGGCTCCATCCTAGGGTGGGTGACTGCTCTCATCACAGGGCCACGCCTCCTGACATAAAGGTGTCTGTGGACAGGAGCCCCATAGACTGCCAGGTGGGCCAGCCCTGTGTGCCCTCATGGATAGGGTTGGATGTGATATTTCAAAGCCACAGGTCTGCACCTCCATGGAAGACCATGCCTTGATATATGTACTGATGGGCCAAGTGCTGTGGCACATACCTGTAATCCCAGCAGGTTGGGAGGCTGAGGCAGGAGGATCTCAAGTTCAAAGCCAGCCTTAGCACCTTAGTGAGGCCCTAAGCAACTTAGTGAGACTGTGCCAAAATAATAAAAAAAAATGAAGAAGGTCTGGGGGTATGGTTCAGTGGTTAAGCACTCCTGGGTTCAATCCCTGACACCAAAAAAAAAAAATTAAGTACCACAGGACTTTCAATGTGGGTCCATCTGCCTCATAGCCAGAATGCAAGCTACCCTCCTGGTACCTGGGTGGCTTCACTGTGGATAGAATGTCCCATGTTTGAGCAGGAATTAGGAGGAGATATGCTCCAAGAACACATCTCTTGGCTCTGGAACAGCTGAGCCACCCAGGTGGCTTCCTTTTGTGTCCACCTACACGGGCTTCCTCCTGGACCCCCTTTCTGACCCCTCCTGGACCTGCCCAGCCAAAGCTTTCCTGCTCAGACTCCAGTTGTAGGAAGAGCCAGGAGCTGCCCGACTGGCCTTTGAAGAACCCAAGTCCCCCAGCCCCTCCCCAGAAGCCAGGAGCTGCATTCACGCTTCATGATTCTCACTCAACACGTATTAATGTGGACCCACACAGGCGGGCTCCAGGGATTTCCAGACTCTGAGAAACATCTGTGGATGAAGCTTAGATGCCAGTGGGAGAAGACAGAAATCAACAGCTACATACACAGGTGAATCCAGCAGCCAGTGCCACAGGAAAGGCTGGAGAGTCACACGGAAGCAGGACTCAGGGACAGAGAGCCCGGGAGAAGAGGAGAGCGTCAACAGGCCTTCAAGGTAGGCTTGGCTGGGGAGGTTTGTGAGTGGGTTAACGGAGGTGAGGGGATCAGTGTGGGGCAGCTGGGGAAGGAGTACCACAGAGGGGAGAGCCCTGCAAAGACGGGGGGGGGGGCAGGGGAGGGACGTGCTGGCGGCTGGAAGGGTGGCAGGGAAGTCAGCTGTGTGGAGCTGTGTGAGCCAGGCAGAGGACAGACAGCAGGCGAGCTGCGGGGGGTCCTTGAAGGCTGCCGGTGTGTGCGTCGGTGACTCTCCTCCTGACCAGGGAGGAAGCACTGGTGACTTGGAGCCAAGGAGGGCTTGAGTCTGGTGCAGGGTTCACAGGATCTCTGGCTCCTGCATGGAGAGTAGGCAGGGAAGGAGTGGGGTTAGGAGCAGGAGACTGGCTGGAGGGCTTTTAGTGATAGGGGACAGATGATGACAGCTGGGGGGGGAGGCCAGTGCTGAGAGGTGGCCCCTGGCCTAGATGCGCAGTGAAGGTGGAAAGTAGAAGGAGTCACAGGACGGCTCCAGGGTGTTTGGTCTGAAAAACTGGAAGGTTGGAGGTGTCAGTGCAAACAGCCTGGGAGCCTGTGGGCGGGGGCCTGGCTCTGGGACCAGCCGCTCAGGTCAGCTGGGTTGAGGCACCTGCAGCAGGTCTGGCCTGTGCCCAGATTCACTCTCAGAGGAAAACCTCATCCCGAAATCTGTAAACCCTTCTCCAATAACAATAGCATGATATTAATTTCCCCATAGAATTTGCATCATTACAGAAATAAAAAGTAGTAACCAGATTTTTATACATAAAATATGTTAAAATTATCTAATACTGTGACATGCCAATGGCTTTTTATCAATAGTCAAATTACATTAATAACATTCAGCTAAGGAACAGTATTTACACAATAGTGGATACTTATTTCAACCCGGTTTCTGAAGTATAAGAAAAGCAGAAAGGAAAGTAATTTTCCAATGGATTTTATTCAATTGATTCAGAGAGTGAACCAGGTGCTCCTATTAAAAAATCTATTCCCCATGGCAAGTGCATTAATATATTCCTAATTTCAGTGTTTATATATCTGAATTGTATTGTACGTGTATCAGTCAGTGTTTTCCAGAGTCACGGAATCAATAAGATGGATGGATGGATGGATGGATGGATGGATGGATGGATGGACACACAGACGGGTGGACAGATGGATGAGATTTATTTTAATCAGTTAGCTCGCTCAATTGTGAGAGTCAAGGGCCAGTGAGCAGGCTGGAAGCTCAGGCAGGATTTCTGTGTGCCAGGCTTGAGGCAAAATGCTCTCTTCTCAGGGAAAAATTTTGCTCTGAAGGCCTTCAACTGTTTGGACAAGGCCCACCCATATTATCAAGGATAATCAGTTTTACTTTAAGTCAACTGGTTATAAATGTTAATGACCTGACAACTCCTTCCCAGCAGCACCTAGCTTAGTGTTTCACAAACAACTGGGCACTGAAGGCTCGCCAAAGTGAAACATAGAATCATCCCGGGAACCCTTACAAGTATGTCCCACCCTTTCAAAAATTCAGAACTTGAAAACATCATGATGTACACAAAATAATTTACTAAATTTTGATCAGAGGGACTCATCATAAGAGTTAGTGGCACTCTGCACAAGTGGGTGCATTGGAGAAGTGCAGAGACCCAGCCTAGGACCCCAGGAAGGCTGGCATGCTTCCCCTGCAGAAGGGACCCTGCAGGGTGCACAGCCCATGGTGGCTCCACTGTGTCCAGGGCACAGCCGGGGGCCTGGGGGAGGTGCCAGAGGCCCCCTGGGTTTGGAGGAGGCTTTCTGCCCAGGAGAAACAAGGGTAAGGAGGCCAAGGTTCTACCCTGCAGCACCCCAGTCAGAGGGGGAAGCTGCCAGAAATCAGGGGGGTTCTGGGAGGGGGAGGTTCTGGAGGCTGAGCTTCCATGCTGAGGCTGAGGCTGAGGCTGGGAAGGAGCAGGGAGAGGTCTTCCTGCTGCTCTGGGAATTTGAGGGGGCTTGGGAGGAGGTGCCCCCAGGAAATCTTGAGCATTCTTTAGCACCTTCACAGAGATCAAACCAAACATCCTGAGGCTGTTGGTCACAGACCGAAATGATGGCAGGGGTGTGTGGTCTGAAAACAGACGCCAGTTCCTCCCCGCGGGGTAAATAACGGAAGAGTCCAAGCTGAGCGGCTCGGAGCCCTAGCCCCAGCTGCCTCCCTCTCACCCTTTCCTGGGTTTCTGATTTAAGGCCATCCGAATTATCTCCAAGAGTGTTATATAACCTCTTTAAAGCAATTAAGCACCAGTGCAAGGGCACACGCCTGTAATCCCAATGACTCTAGAGGCTGATACAGGAGGATTGCCAAGTTCAAGAAGAGCCTGGGCAAGCTAGTGAGGCCCGATCTCAAAATTTAAAAAAATTTGAGAATTTAGCTCAGTGGTAAAAGCACCTTGGATTTAATCCCCAGCGCCCAATCCAACCCCCCTCAAAAGAAAAACAAAGGCAAAAAACCAATTAAGCACATTTAATATTTAGTATGATCAGGCAGCTTAAGGTCGAGCTAGTCAGAGGAATGTAATTAAAAATCAAACAAGCAACCATGGCATTCACCATTTCCAAACAGGACGAGAGTCCTCCGTGCAGCGTGAAGCGGGGGGGATGCCAGATGAGTGAGCTCAGCGCCTTGAAGAGCCAACCAAGGCTCGTTCCAGACACTGGCAAGGCCAGGAGAGATGTCTGAGCGCACAGTGAGTGCTTGGTCCTTCGTCCGTGAGGAGAATTAATGACCTCATTATCACGCTGTGGTGATTTATCAAGTGTCATCTTTGCTGAGCAAGCCCTGGGGACCTTGGAAAGCCACGAGCCAGTGCATGTGGAGACAAATATGTGACTAGGAGTCTGGCTAGTCCACAGATGGGACTCTAGGCCACAGCGGTGGGATAATAGGGAGGACTGACTTGGAAGGCCTTTCCAATATGGCAACATGGCAGGCGAGACAGGAGGGCAGGTACAGCGGGTATCCAGAAAGGAGATGAGGCTCCAAAGTGGAGCAGGAGCTGGCTAGACCTGCAGAAAAACAAAGGTTTGGGGCCTGAGGGTGTCCAAAATATAGTGCCCTGGAAGGCCCATTATTAAAGACATTTGGGGATCAGCAGATGCTGAAAGAGGCCTCCCCAAGTTCCTTCACCTTCTAAGGCCAGGTCCACAAAAGAGGAGTTCAATCACGTTGGATCTTCTGTCTGGAATGCCATTCACCAAGGAAGGCTAGACGCATGTCACAGAGGAAGAGACACTAGAGCCAGGACCTTGTTCCCCAGGCCTTCCTCCCCCTAAAAGGCATCAACTAGCCCCTTCCCCTTTCCCAGGCAGGAGGGTGTGTGGCTCCCGAGTCCCACCGGGTACTGAGTGCTCAGCTTCCTGCAAGCCCTGGGGTGTTAATAAATCTGGGTGCTTCTCCCCCTGCTGACCTGTTATCAGATTGTCTCAGTGAAACTTCAGAGGGTCCAGGGGAGGGTCCTTCACTCCTTAGGTCAAGCTGATGGAAATAAAGGGAAGACCCATGGACTTCTCACCCAGAACTTGTTCTACTTTCCTGGTGAATATCTGCAGTCTGTTTGGCAGGGCTGGACACCTGCAATGCTTTCTCAGCCAAATGATTTCAAGAGCTTGCCTGGAGGTCCCAGAGGGGACCTGTATACCCTCCCCTTTGAGCATGCAGCTTTGGGAGACTATACAGGGAGCTCTGAGGGAGGAAGGGGACACCAGCCGGGGTCCCTGAGGCAACCCTGGTGATCAAGGAGGCGACCGATGCCACAGTGAGACCACCCCCACACCCACAGGGAATTTTGATGTGGATTCCTCCAAAGTCAGCCGGCTATGCTCCCTTTTCTACTCACAACCAAGGCCAGTTCACCGGGCAGTTTGGCTCAACCTGCTGGGTCTGACTCTTCTCACTACACGAAATCTCTAGTCTGTGAAGCTGATGTCTACCCTGGTGCTTCGATTTCTTGCTCTCGGCCAGAGGTGTAGCCAGACCTGCTGTTGGAGGGAAGGGAAGCTGGGTCCTAGGGTCAGTAGACGGTTCTTTCCTTTCCTCCTTTCTTCTCTCTCTCCTCCCTCCCTCCCTCCCTCCCTCCCTTCCTTCCCTGAGCTCCAAGTTCTAAGCCGGAAGGTGCCTGTGAGGTGGCACAGCGCCCTTGTGGAAAGCAGTGCTCTCTTGGGTGTGCAGGTGTCCTACCACCACGGACAGCGCCCCTGGGTCTTCCACCAGGCCATGCACCTGGCCCAGTGAAGCAGCACTACACAAGACAGCTTCCAAAATCAAGTTCAAGTTCGCACTGTATGTGACTAGGTCTAAAAGTAGACCACTCGGCCGCGCATGACTGGAATGTGACGAGGAGACGTGAGGCCTGTGTCGAAGTTCACACGCCCATCTCTGTGGCCAGCATTCACCTTGTGCACTTGGCCAGCTCACCAGCACCGCGAGGATGGCACCTAGGATGGAGGAGTGAGGTGGGCTCAGGGTTCAGGAGCAGACAGCCAGCGGGGGCCCCCGGCTGCAGGGTGGCAGGAGGCTGGCTTTGGGCTCAGGTTGGGCTGAAATCTCAAGAAGAGTCCCAGGTTTGATTCCCACTGTTTCTGCTTGTGATGAGAGAGTCACTGAGGACCAGAAGCACTGGGCTCAGGGGCCACGGCAGAACACCGCGTGCTGTCCCAGAACCACTTGACTTGGTACTCCGTTCCTTTACTTTTATTTTAGCTTTTTGAAAAATAAGATGCTTCTTGCTGGGCGCAGTGGCACCCGCCTGTAATCCCAGTGGCTCAGGAGGCCAGTACAGCAGGATCACGAGTTCAAAGCCAGACTCAGCAAAAGTGAGGCGTTAAGGAACTCAGTGAGACCCTGTCTCTAAATAAAATACAAAATAGGGCTGGGTGTGGCTCAGTGGCTGAGTGACCCCGAGTTCAATCCCCGGTAACACCCCCCCCCAACGAAATAATAATAAAATAAAAAATAAGATG